GGAGGCCCCGGCCGCCCCGACATTTTCTCCGCTCGCGCGCGCCCGGCCCGCAACACCTCCGTGGGGATTGGACGAAACTCGCGCCCGGGGCGGGGCTTCCTGCAGCACGCCTGCGCACCGCGTTTCCGAGCGCGGTGGACCGGTCTCAACGGCTGCGGAGAGGCGCTAGTGCGCATGCTTTAAGCCTCTGGGGCCGCACATTCCGAGTAGAGGAGGTGGGGGCTGGGTGCATGTGGTTTTCCAGGCTTGCGATTGGCGGGTTGAGGAGTCAGTGACCTGCTCTGGAAGAACCGCCCCCACTTTACTGAGCCTGTGGAGGTTGCGGCAAGTGCGCCTGTGCCCTGCCACGTATCTAGGGTTTGATTCTTGTCTCCGCCAGTATTCCTCACTGCTCGTGTGGGGTGTAAGCCCAGGAATGTAACCTTTAACTACGCAACATGGAATTTCCTGGAGTCTAGAGTAGGAAATTTCCTCACAGACCCTTGGGAGAGCACTCTTACCTAAACACTGCATTTGTCAATATATTTTTTGGTTTTCTTCCTATTCCTTCTTTGAGATTGCTTTCCTTTGTTTAGTTCAGTGGAACTGTCCTCTATTTGCTACACTGGATGCTGCATGAGTTAAGAATCAGTTAATAAAGCTAATTAGATTTTTAAGTTTACTCATTTGAAATTTTCTTTTGTTAACACCTCCCTGTAATAGAGGACAGATGAAGTAGAGAAGAAACAAGTTTAATAACGTGGATTCCTCCTATATACATGGGAGAAACCCAGGGAAACGGAGGAATTCCCCGAAATGGCTAAAGCCACCGCCTTACATGCCATACGGGCTAAAGATGAGGATATTGGTGGAAGCAGGAGTCATCAGGCAGCCAGAATAAACAGGGTATGGTTGTAAGGTGCCTTTCCCATGGATAGAAGTTTCCAAAAATTTAGAGTCCTGCCTTTCCTCCTAGTACAAATGGAGATTCTCCTTTTAAATGTAAATGTTCCTTACCAAAGCACAACTTCCACTCAGTTTTCAGAGGTTCTTTTGTGTTTGTTGTTCCTTAGAATTAATCATGCCTGTAAACCTTAAAAATAAAAGTGCCATTTATTTTACCAAACAAAGATGGGTTTATTCGGGGATAGTAGAGAATTACAACCGGGACAAGCCAACTACTGCAAAACCACAGGTAAATCTGACAACAAGCCAGAGGAGGCTCTTTTATAGAGGAGGCGGGGTTGGGCGCGGCTGTTGGAAACTGAAAGCCCTTTGGAGTAAACTGGGGAACTGGAGGAGCAGTGGCTTCTCATTGGCTGGGGCCTGGCCGTCTCTCGTCGGCTGGGCTGTGGCGGGGTGGCGCGCGGGGAGGAAGTTTTCTTTCCTCCTGCTGGGATAGTGAAGTGTACCCACCTACGAGGTACCTCTTTTCCTGTTGGTAGAGCATAAGAGTGGCTCCTTCCAAACCTTGGGACTTCATATGAGTCAGGTTTCCCGTTATTTTCGTAGGCTCAAACAATGCTTATGCCAAAGATCCGTGCTCTCTCCTCCCGTGGAGGTGGTTCTGCATCTTTATGGACAGGACCCACCGGGAAGGTGCTGCTGAGTCTTCAGCCTCAGGAACATTTGGAGCTGTGGGAGGAAAAAGCAGAGGCTTCCTTTGTGTAGTGAATAGTAAGGAGGGGCAGTCGTCAGAGGACCCAGTGGAGGAAAGGCCTGCGGTGGAAAACTGTCTTTTAGTTACTTTGTGTGTGTGGCGCAGGATTTTGTGTATGGTGTAACGTACTATGTTCTATTGCTTGTGGCTCATTTTCCCAGCAGTATTCATTGAGGAGACTGCCCTGTGTTGGGTGTTCTTGGCTCCCTTGCAAGGTAATTGAACATCTGTGCTTGTGTTTATTTCATTCTGCTACAGTGATCCTTGTGCCTGTTTATCTCAACACTTTCAAGACTTTTGTTTACCATAGCTTTGCAAAAGCTTATTCTTTCTCAAGATGGGTTTGGCTATTCAAGATCCTTTGTGGTTTCATACACACTTCAGGATTGTTTGTTACTGTTTTGTGAAAAATGCCTTTGGAATTTTGTTCGTGATTACATTGTATCTGTGGATTGCTTTGGGTTGAATGAACAATTTGACAATATTTAACAATCTACGAGTGAGAAATATCCTTCCATTTATTGGTCTCTTCTTCAATTTCTTTATCAGCATCCTGCAATTTTGATGTTATAGAATTTTCACATCTTGGTTAAAATTTTTCCTAGATATTGTATTATTTTTTGATGAAATTGTTAGTGATACTATTTTCTTAATTTTTCCTTGTGATGGTTTATTATGAATACGTAAGGAGCGAGAATGTCCTGTTCCTTCAAGGTCCTTCTCGGTGGACTAAAAATCAAATTGACATGAGACAGAGTAACAGGAGAAAATAAAATTTAATTTTGTACGTATGGGGAATCCAGAGAGACGTGGAAACTCGAGACGCACTCAGGCAAAATGAGGTATATATGCCATCCTGAACCAAGGACAAGGGGACAGGGACCAGGAACATCAAAGGGAAGGGTGCGCCTCACAGGGAAGGAAAAAGAGTAAATGTTTGTTGGACACAGCGAGAATCGGAAGACTTTATGCAAACAGACCTTGATAGGTTCCTCCCTTTCTACCATTCCTAGTTCATATCATAACTCAGTTATCCGTGGTGCTCGCTGTCCTCCTGGAGCCAGGCCCCTGGGAACGGACCTCTTGACTGAACCATTGGTTAGGGTTAGGACCTAGGAGCGTGGCAGGTCTGATCTGCCATCTGTGTGGTGCACTTCCCAGAGGGCTGAGTTGAGGGCGTGTGTCGGGTGAGTGTCAGGCTCAGGGTTTGGGTCCAGGGGGCTGCTGAAAGTGGGGGTTCATGGGGATGGGCTCAGGTGGGCCTCCAGATTTCTCTGGTTCTGAATACTTTCTGGAGTCCCCAGTGGCACAGTTTCCTTCTGGGTGGCAGCCTGAGTCCTCTGGTATTGCTCAGGTGTCCCCAGTCCCTGGGGCTTGGGAGCCAGGCCTCTGGGGACAGATCACTCAGAACCTGACCTAGGGTTAGGGTTAGAGGTTAGGGGTTAGGGGTTAGGGTTGGGGTAGGGGTTAGGGTTATGATCTCCCTGTCCTCTGATGTAGAGCCCATTCTCCTCCAGTAACTAGATTGATCGTTTCAGAGCATAACCTTTGAGCCTCTCTGCAATCTGCTTCCCACCTGCCCGTCCTCTCCAGCCTCACCTCTCCCACCACAGCCCCCCTCTGTGGGCCTCCCAGGTGTGGGGTTGTCACACATGTGCCTGGGGCCTGACTCCAATCCTTTACATTCTCTGTGCCCTCTGCCAGGATCACTCTTCTCTCCCCCTGCATCATGTCTGGTCTGTTCCCCCATTGGCTGGGCCTCTACTTGCCCCTTGGTGACCTGACTCATGTCTGCTGGGTGTGTGTGCTTGTTCCCTATTTAAATGTAGTACCGGCCTTCCCTGTGTGAACGATTTACTAACCTGCCAGGTATGGGGCAGACCAGGGAAGTAGCCTTAGTGCCTGTGTAAAAAAATCAGTCTCAGGGCGCCTGGGGGGCTCAGTCATTAAGCGTCTGCCTTTGGCTCAGGTTATGATCCCAGGGTCCTAGGGTCAAGCCCTGTGTCAGGCTCCCTGCTCAATGGGGAGCCTGCTTCACCCTCTCCCACTTCCCCTGCTTCTGTTCCCTCTGTAGCTGTCTCCCTCTCTGTCAAATAAATAAATAAAATCTTTAAAAAAAATCAGTCTCAGAGGGGCTCACCACACTTGCTAGTAATGGGGGAGCTGCTGTCCCCACAGTGAGGAGCAGGTAGTCCCCTCAAAGGGGGACCAGCCACGTGAGGCAGTTGGACAAGACTTCCAACTTCTTGGGGCCGGGGAGATGTAGACCTGGAACCAGAAGCTACACCCTTGGATTCAAGGCTGGGGCCTAAGCAAGCCCTGTCTTCTTCCAGGGGTCCTCTTTCCCCTTCCCTGCCCACGGGCTGGACCTGATTCCCGATCTGGGGGAGTTCGAGGGTGACCCCTCCTAGGAATACCAGTGGTTTACTGAGGACATTGTCAGCTAGAGGCCCAGTAGCCTTCCAGGGAGGACTCTATAGGGGGTGGAGACAGCTCTGTGGGGGCCAGTGAGAGCCCACTCAAAGCAAAGTGGGGCAGGTGGCCGGCCCTGCTGATTCTACCCAGTCTGTAGGGCACAGAAACAAGGGCTGTGCCCCAAGGTGCTCAACTCATGGCAGGTGGGGACAGAACCTGCAGGGGGTCAGCCAGGGGAGGGCACCTGCAGGGTTTGCCCGAGAGCTCAGCACAGGGGGAGTGTTCCTGGCTCCAGCATGCTGACTGTGGGGCTGCCTGGGTTTCCAGCCTCCTAAGCCTCAGGCTCCCCTGTGTAAGATGGGGTGCTGATGGCCCCCATCTCTGAGAGCAGGAGGTAGGGAGGCCCCACTGGCAGACTTAGTCAGGACAGGCCAGGAGGGTGGCTGTTGCTTAAAGCAGCCCAGGGCCTGCCCCCATGACGAAGGTGCACATGTGCTTGGCCCTGAGCTCTGGGGTCCTGCCACCAGCCTCGGGCAGTGGCCCTCCTCCAGCCCTGTCCCCTGTCCCTGTGGATACACGGTCATCCTGGAGCTGTTCCTGCACACAGTAGGGTAGCACTTCACTGTGGGACACAGGGTCACCTACTACGTCTTCACCAATCAGTTGCCTGCCGGGCCCCATGTGCCCCTCCGGGAAGGCCGGAAGGTGGTGGTCCTCGAGGTCCCCGGCACCCCGTGCCGGGAGGACGTGTCCATGCAGAGCACGTGATGATCCGCCGCTTCTGTAAGCAGCTCTTCCTGTCATCGTGCGCTGAAATAAAGTTCTCAGACACCAATCTGAGCGGCCATGCAGGGCTGCCTCTGCAAGTAGGGCAGCAGCAGCTGGGTTCTGCACATCGCTTTTATTTCATTTTTTATCAGAAAAGCAAGGGCAGATGCCTCAAAGCATGGGAAAGGAGGACAAAGGGATGGCAAGTATCCTGAAGCTGTGAAGCAGGCCTGCACCCTCCTCTACGCGCAGGCACGCAGGCAGGCTGTCATGGGATAAGGGAAGAATGGGATGTTTGTGCCAGCAAATGCCAGGTGCAGGAAGGGGGCACGGAGGGTTACGTTCTTTCCTGGCTCCTGACCTATGCCCTGCCCCTGGGGATCATGGGATCCTGCTCCTACCGGGCCATTGTGTTCAATAGCCTGAGAACAGGAACGCTGTTGACGTTCCAGCTGCTTCCACAATCACTCCTTGGGGCTTACAGTATATTTTCTAAGAATAACTCCACAATTCCTCCGTGAGGTGGACTACCTGGTGTGCACAGAGGTGGATATGAAGTTCCGCGACCACGTGAAAGTGTTCCCCTCTTTTGGCACCCTGCACCCCGGTTTCTACCTGGCAGCCCACAAAGACTTCAGCTATGAGCATCGGCCACAGTTCCAGGCACACATCCCCAGGGGCAAGGGTGACTTTTACTACATGGGGGCCTTTTTTGGGGGGTCAGTGGAGGTTCACCGACTGACCTTGGCCTGTCACCAGGTGATGGGAGTCGACCTGGCCAATGGGATCGAGGCTGTGTGGCACGACGAGAGCCACCTGAACAGGCACCTGCTGGACCACAAGCCCCTCAAGGTGCTGTCCCCGGAGGACCTGTGGACCTGTAGATGCTGGGTTGTCCCCAGAGGACCTGTGCACCCAACACCACCTAAACTATTGGCCATTTCTTGTCACTTGAGCTGAGTACAAAGGTTTGGGAGTTGGAGTTTGAGGGGGGTCCTGGCCAGACTTTGTATTTGGGGGACAAAGGCCATCCAGACAAGCTTGTGCTGGACCTGAAGAGGCTGCCTGTGTGGAGACCCCAGCTACAGGCACTGCTGTCTACAGATGCCCCCTCAGCCCGCCCCAGTGCACCTGCTGCTGGGGGAGCCTCTGCCCCCTCCTCTCTGCCTGAGGGCTGTGTCCTGCACCAGGTGCCTCCTCCCCTGCTGGCCACTGCCAGCCTGCAGCCTGGGAGTGTGGATACCCTGACAACATCCAGCCCTGGGGACAGAGCCAGTGCGACGTGGTCTCCCAGCAGGTCTGAGCGCCAGGTCCCCACATTGCTCGCTCTCCTCCTGTGGGCTCACTGTGCCACGTCCTCCCTCAGTCTCCCTGGGCCCAAGTCCTCCTCTGCTCAGGGACCAATCTCTTCCCGGGTTCCACACGCTGGGACTGGGAGCAGGTCATCTGGACCTTCTGGACTCTTGCTTCCGTGCCCGTGACATGGGCACAGTCCGGCCTCACAGACTGCTCAGAGGAGACCCAGCGCAGGAAGATGCAGGCCACTGCAAGGGAGATGCCAAGTGACCCCAGAGGGAGCAC